AGGCATCTAAGCATTAAGAAAACACGTAAACCACAGCATTACGCTACAATAAAACAGTATAAGTCAAGAACAATGCAGTGAAGCAGTAAAACATTTCAGTTCAGCAAAACCCTTTTTAGAAACATCTTTCAATAGTTTCAAAGGAGTGGTGAAAATAGTTAGAAAAAGGATAGAAAAGTAAACAACTCCTCGGGCAAAACATATACCACAATCGCCCCTCGGGCAAAATATCAAGAGAACTACCTCATCGAGCTACCTCACAATCACTCGTATCAGCCCCTCGGACAATAACATGAAATAACAACAGCCCCTCGGGCAATATCACATCTCACACTAGGTATCCGTGCTCATTAGGGTGTTCAGACTCTAGAGGGGCTTCTACAGCCCAAGCGCTATAACAAGCCATCTCGTGGCATAATCAAACTTGCTCTCGGCCTCATAATAAGCCACCTCGTGGAATAACAAATCAGGCCCTCGGCCTCATAATCATGAACCAGTACAACTTGATGTGGTGCATAGCCCGATCCTATAATATCCTCACAACACAGGCCTTCGGCCTTACTCAGTCAAAAATCTTTCAAGCCACTCAGGCAACAGTAAAATATGATGATCAACCCAAAATACCATTTAAAATGTTAAAACAAAGTAAATATGGCTGAGTTATGAAAATAGTGGAATACAGCATGACTGAGTACAAATATGAAGTCAAAACAGTGAGGAATAGTAGTAAAAATCCTCTAAGGGTCCAAAACAATTGGCACGAGGCCCAAATATGACATTCATCCCAAAACATGATAATACTTTCCAAAACAAAATGATATCAAATAGTTCAATCAAATACGCGACTTAACAGTTATACGGGACGGACTAAGTCACAATCCCCAACGGTGCATGACTCTACGCTCGTCATCTAGCATGTACATCACCTCAAAGTAGCACAACGATGTAAAATCCGGGGTTTCATACCCTCAGGACATCATTTACAATCATTACTTACCTCAATCCGGTCCAAACTCTAGCCCCCGATGCCCTAGCCTCTCGATTCGGCCTCTGGATTCTCCAAATCTAACCAAAAACAGATTTATACCATCAAAATATGCTAAGGGAAAAAATCCCACTCGAAAATAACCAATTCATATCAAAAATCTCGAAATTGGCCAAACCCGACCCCCGGGCCCACGTCTCGGATTTTGATAAAAATCACTCCTTACACTCTCACGAGTTCGTACATATCAAATACATCAAAATCCGACCACAAACAACCCCTCAAATCCTCAAATCAAAGACTCAAATTCCAAGCTCTAACTCCCCAATTTTAGGCTTTAAATCCCACTAATTTCATGTTTAAACAAGTAAGAATCAACATAGGATCGAGTTTTAGGTTCAATAATTTTACTTCAAAGAAGTTCTCTTTAATTCCCCCTTCAATCTGCCCCCAAAACATCCAAAACCGACTCAAAAATGGTGAATTATGGCCAAAAATCGAGAAAATGGTTATTTAAATATTTTGCCCAGCGATTTAATTCCTTCACCGCGATCACGAAAACAGCCTCGCGATCGCGAAACACAAATGATGACTGACCCCATTTAACCCTACGCGATCGCGAACACCTCCATATTATCGCGAAGCACTGGCTCCACAAGCTTACGCGATCGCAACCTCTCCCACGCGATCGTATAGAACAACCTGCCTACTCCTCACCAGCTCCTTTCCTTCTACGCAAACGCGATCCTGACCCCGCGTTCGCGAACAACAACTGCATAGCCAATCGCGATCGCGCCCTTACCTTTGCGATCGCGTAGAAAAAATCTCACCCCTGATCGACTAAGCCTACACGATTGCAGACCATTCTACGCGATCGCAGACCATTCTACGTGATCGCGAAGAACAAAAATGCCTGCAACAGAACTAAAGAAAATCTGCAACTTTCAAAATAAGGATTTGATCCGTTTAACCACCCGAGGCCCTCGGGACCCCAACCAAACATGCCAACATATCCCATATCATCATGCAAACTTGTTCCAAACTTCGGAACACTCAAAACAATATCAAAACATCAAATCAACCACGGATTCAAGCCTAAGAACTCCTACAACTTCCGAATTCTGATTTCGATCAAAACGTCTATCAAACCTCGTCAGAGTGACCTGAATTTTTGCACATATGTCCCAAATGACACAATGGACCTACTCCAATTTCCAGAATTCCGTTCCGACTCCTATATCAAAATCTCTGTTACCAACCGGAAAACGCCAAAATTCCAAATTTCTCCAATTCAAGCCTAAATCTACTCCAGACCTTCAAAATACATTCTGATCACGCTCCTAAGTCCCAAATCACCTCCCGGGGCTATCTGAATCATAAAAACCAAATTTCGAGGTTTTTACTCACAAGTCAACTTCTAGTTGACTTTTCCAACTAAAAGGTCAACTTAAGAGACTAAGTGTCTCATTTCTCTACAAAACCACTCTGAACCCAAAACCAACACGATGCCACATAATACATCTGAACAAGATATAAAGAAGCAGAAATGGGAAAAACGAAGTGGTAACTCATGAAACGACTGGCCGAGTCATTACATGGGTATTTATGATAGTTTTAGAACTTGTGGGTATAAGTCATGTTTCATATTTTTTCAAAATAAATTTCAGAAATATGTTTTGAAAACTGATGTCCAAACATATTTTTCATCTTCAAAACAAACTTCTTCCAAATCAAATTTGTCAAAATAAATTTGGAAACCTATGGCCAAACGCTAGCTAAAACTCACCGGAAAATATTGGCTAAAAGGATTATCGTTCCCATTCAAAAGGCGGAGAGGGTATTATTTCCCTTTCAGGTTAAGGGAGTTATTCTTTGAAAAATTTAGAGGAAGATATCCCTTAAAGATATGTGTATATATTAGGAAATAAATTAATTAGTTATCGATTAGATTGTTTTCGTAACGATAATACAAAGGGTTACAAATTATTGTAAAGAATTTTAGGCACAATCTAAAATATTATTTTAAGTTAGTTGGAATGTACAGAGAGTGAGATTTTCTCTATTTAGAAAAATGAAAGATGAAATACGCTCATGGTCACTTGGCCCAATAGCCCATAAGAAAATGGCTCACATTTGAAGCCCTTACTTGATATACTCCAGATTGTACATAATTTGAAAATTACTTTTTATCAGTTAGTCCACCTCATTTAATTGTTTTTTTCCTTCGTTCTTCTTCTCCCTGTATCACGACTTTGCACCCCGAAATTTCTCTACCTCTATATTTATTCTTCAATTCTCCTTCCAGATTCAAAGTTGATAACCATTATTCAGATGAGAAGAAAAAATACTACATAAAAGAATTTTTTTTTAAAGTCATATGAAAATCACTTCCAATATTGGAATGGAGAGAAGTGTGAAGTTCACTTGGTAGGTTGTTGGATCGTCAAACTAGAAAGAAGATGGCATTGTCTCAATCTTATCCTCATCCAACATGTAATTTTAATCTCAGTGGTTGACTAAAAACTTAAAAAATAAAAGCCACCATTAAAGGTCGTTTGAAGCTTCAATATCAGAAATTGAATTTTTTGATTTGTTAACTGTTTGGATTGGGTGTTGTCCCAATTGATTGAAATCATCAAGGAGAGTTCAAAACTCAAATTTGAAGTGATTTGGAGTAGATTTAAGCTAGGTTTGAGTGAAATTTCAGAAGATGCCCAAGGAAGAAGAAGAACGAAACTCCATTAACATGATTCATTTGTATAATAGTGTATAATATTGTATAAGTAGTATATAATAGTGTATAAACACCTCTTATACATTATTGTATACAAGGTTGATACATTATTTACAGGTATTTGGTGGATTTCTCACATTTCTGCTTCTTCTTCTTCTTCTCCTGCTTCTCCTTCTCCTTCTCCTTCTCCTTCTCCTACTAATACACATATATACATAGTGTCTTCACGAACATTTTCACTGCTGTGTTTATACATCTTTATACACTTTTATACAACTATATATATNAACTTTTTGCACGATTATCACTTGCAATTTATGTATAAAACTAGTCCAAATCTCCATCAAATGACTTCAAACGTTGTATACAGCCTACTTAGACTATTTCTAATAAGTTGAAATAATACCCTCTCCAAATTCTCACAAAATCATATTCGAAATTTAACAAGATTAGCATTAAGGAGACAGCGTGTCTGTTTTTGCGTTTCTTGTAGCTGTGATAGGTACGTATAACCTTGAGGAAAAAGGAGAAAAGAAATTCACGGATGTTTCATGCTAGAAGATATTGTAACATTAACTTATGGAATGCATTATTCTGTAATTTTGTCAAAATGAAATTATTAATCGGGACAGACACAAAGGAAAATGTGTTAAATGAATTGAAAGAAAAAAAGAGTTATAAAAAGTAGAATTGCTTATTTTACGCATTTCTTCATTGCAACAAACATGGAATAGCTCGAAGTGATTGTAATGTTTGACCATTAGGGTGGAAAATTGGAGTCTGGATACAATGATGAGAAAGTTAAGAGAAATTGCTTTTGAATTTAACTTTGTAAGCACTTAATAAAAATTCAATTAGTAGATTTTAGATTCTAGACTATAAGGTTAAGCCAAGGTTAACGTGCCCTTATCTTATTTGATGAATGTGACTTTATGAATATAAACTTCATGGTAATGATAAATTAATTTTATATGTGACATTGTGAATGATTATTGCACTATGATCAAATTATTATTTTTAATGGACAAGTATTTTCTAACATCATATATATAGGAGTATCTTTCCAATAAACGTACATCATATAAAATGGACAAATAAACTTTGCAATAGCTAGGAAAAGGATGAATGAGCATCTAAAGAGTTATTTTTCCAATTTCATTTTCAATGTGGTACCCTGGAGATAAAGTATATATCTTAAGAAAATTAAACGTCAAAAGTTCCATTTACAATCACATTTCCAATGTGAAAATAAGTATATATCCTTATTATTTCCACCTTCAATATAATATTACAAACTATACAAAAATGTAAATTAAAATTCTTGGCATAGCAAGAAAATCAAGCAGCTAGCCCCCAACAACTGATCAAGACTCAAAAGTGTGTATATGTTTTAATCTAGTAAAGTCATCAACACATATTACAATAACAATAATGCAGGAAAAAAACTGTGGCTAGTTCTTATCGATCATGGATAACCATAAGGGCCAGGACCATGGGGTCTATAACCATGGTAGACATAAGCCCTATGTCTGTAACTGTTATTAGTAAGAGCACAGCAACCAACAGAGTAAATAATAGATATAATAACGAAGATGCAAACGCTTATGAGAGAGGAATGTTTGTAATATTTCTTTATATTGTCAATAACAGCTTTTTTGCATGAATTGCAGTTGTAACACATCTGTTTCTCTTCGTTGTTCCAAGCTTTACAGTCTGCATCGCCTGGCACTTTTGCACCTGTTTTCGGCACGATCCATGTTGTTGCATTTTGGAACTCAAAGTTGCAGTATGTGGGTGGTTTGCAGCATCCAGACTGTATCAAAAGGAAATAATTAGCATGTGATTTCAAGGAAGCCTTGACGTAACCGGTAAAGTTATTACCATGTGACTAGGAGGTCAGAGTTCAAGCCGTGGAAACAGCGTCTTGCAGAAATCTAAGATAAGGTTGCGTACAATAAACTCTTGTAGTCCGACCCTTCACCGGATAAGCTTAGTGCGGGCTTATCACAAAATTAGTTTGCATGTAATTACGTTACATGTGACCTAATTGTATACATATTTTTGTTTTGTAGTGCTAGTGCATATATATAACTTCATACGAATAAGCATAAAACTCAAATAACTAGGACTTCATTCTTCACGAACCACTGGCAGTCAAAGGGTTTAACAGCTTATTAATTCCATCCCAATTTTCTCTCAAGATTGAAATATAAATTGAAGTTTCCTAGTATGTAATAAATTCTTTATGATAATATTGAGATTAACAAGATTGAACTATTTCCTGATTAAAACCTTTGTCTCTAATTCAACAAGCCAGATAGTAAATTAAACCACATTGCAATAGCGGTATTCAGGGGCTGAGCCAGTACTGATTATGGGTTCTACCGAATCCTAGGCAGTAACGTTGATTCAAATTATGTATCTATTTTAAAAAGTTCATTGAATATGTACAACTTATATATTTAAAACCCAATAACTTAAAAGGATTAGACTCCTAAACTCATAACTTTCAAATCCCGACTCCATCTCTGACGATATTGGTTGGTGCGTCCCATGCATGCACTCTCATTGATGGTAATATCTAGATTTAACAGTTTTTCCTTCTAAAAGAAAATAAAAATACAATAGTATGGTGACAAATATTGCTAATTTTGACTCATTTTTGTTTTAATCAAACGGGATAACATTTCAATGCAAAATTTACTTAAATTGCGAATGAAATCATTAGACATTGATTACATGACTTCATCTCGACCTTTTTATTTTGACTACTATCTTCTCAGAACCAACCGTGATGTTATACTTCGTATGCAAATATATACACATACTACATAGATACCCTTGGCATACTTTCTTTTTAATCTGTCTCAAAAATTAAAGAATATTATATTTTTATAAATAAAAATAATATGACTTTAAAAATTTATATTTTATCCTTAATGAGCTGATTTATAGCTAATATCTATGACTTATTTTAAAGCACAAGATTAAAAAGTTTTCATTTCTTTCTTAAATTTCGTGTCTGATCAAACAATAGTGGTAAATTAAGAGAAAAGATGAAAATCGAACCAGAGTCGAGGACAACTTGTCTTTGTAAAATTCAGCAGTTCTGTCCTTGGGAAGCTGGTATTTACAGTATTTAGCATCAATCAAACAACTCTTAATCTTTTCCCAATCTCGATCATTAGGCAAACGTTTCTTAATAAACCAATGCGAGTATTCTTGAAATTTATCTTCCCATTCACCTTTAGGTTCTTGATTATTACTATCTAAATGTGTCACCGCATTAACGAGGCAGAATAGCTGGTAAATAATCATCCCTGCGAGGACCACAAACAACAAAGCCAAATATATCCACAACAAAAAAGAGACATGACAACATGCCCCTATAATTCCCATTAAAGAAAGTATCAAAAGGAACAACCCTAATATCAACAGAGGTTTTTGAAGAGTTTTTTGGCAAACGGTAGCATTTGAGTTCATATTAAATGATATGGCAATTAATATGAGAATTAGTGAAGCTACCAATGTGAAAAAATTAAGCGTTGTGATAAAACAATTGCTGCAACGAACCATTTTTTATTTTTTGGTGTTTTTGATGATAAAAAAAAAAAAAAAAAAAAAAAAGGCTTTAGTAAGTACCCAGAATGCATATTCCACATGTAATAGCTACCACTGACATATTCAGCTAGTAAATGATCTATTTAGCTATTCAAAGCGATGTATATGAGGATCNCTAAAATGGAAGTAAAACCCCAGAAATCTGATTAGAACTTCTTTTTTTATTTTTGATTCTTTTCTTCTGTTTTTTTGCTTGTTTGTTTGTTGAATATGGAGTATATGGGAGATTAGGGAAAGGGCAGTTGATTTGGGGTGGAAGAGAGAAATGGACGGAATTAAGAGAAGAAAATTTGTTAACTGAATTCCATGCATAATAACGTACGTCCCATGCTCTTTAAATTTTAATTACGTACCTCTCATGTTGTACTAACTAGGGGTGTACATAGGTCGGGTTGGTTCAGATTTTATAATTACCAAACCAAACCAATTGTGTCGGGTTATTAAATCTAAAGACCAAACCAAACCAATAAAACTCGGGTTTTTCAATTTCGATTTTTTTCGGGTTTTCGGGTTATTCGGGTTTTTCGGGTTTTTTCCGGTAAAATCTTCGTAGAACAAAACATATAAGTTGTGCTCAAAATATTTCTTTAATCCTAGTAAGAAGCAACTATATAAAGTATTTTACAAGAAAATAATATAAAATATGAGATGTGTCATGGCATTATCCTAAAATATTCAACAATAAAGACAATAAAATTATGTAATATAAATATTGCTAATTAAAAAGCCATAATAAAAATAAACATAATTTAAAAGTACTAAGTCGTGTTAAAATAAGTAGACTAATAAGGGAGTATTAATTACATGACTAAACGCTAAAGAAAAAATAAAAATAGGTTATGCATTTTTATCCAAAATTATTGCAAAACAAAAAATAGATATTCAATACATTCTCATTCGTAGTATTGAATTGAATGTCTTTTGTTAGCACTAGTATTGATTTGATTTTGGTTTGGGCTTTTGTTAGCATTATTTAATTTACTAATATTAATGGCTATAAAACTTATTGGAACATTCAAAAGTTTTAAGTCCAACCTTGAAATAATACCTTAAAAGATAAAATTATGAAAAGTTTTAAGAAATATTTATAAATTACATCACAATAAATATATTTATATATTAAATATATCTAAAATTTCTATATATGTAATGTGGGGTTGGTTTGGTTTCGGTTTGACTTTCTTTGGTTAAAACCAAATCAAACTAATTATGGTCGGGTTTTTTTTTTCCAACACCAAACCAAATCAAACCAAACCATAGTCGGATTTTTTTTCTCAGTTTGACTCGGATTATCGGGTTGGTGTGGTTTGTCGGTTTCCTCTGTACACCCCTAGTACTAACATATGTATGAACAGAAAATTATTACTATTATTTTTTCTCACTCATTTTTTATACTAAATTTTGATTAGTTTAATGCATTTTGGAAGGATCGAGATAGTGTTCATGCTAATTTTGAGGCTACCACTCTACCACATAAGATTGATCGAGAGAGTGATCAAGTACGTGTTTGATCCTTAATTTTTTTAAAAAAAAAAAAACGAAAATCGTTGTTGTTCTACCTATAATAGTGAATTCAATATAATGTTAAAGAAATTCAGGCAGCTTGAAGTTTGGGAAAAGTTTAAGTAACTTTGACAAAAGTATTTAAGAAATTCTTGAAAAAATCATAAGAAATAAGTAATTTGACTTCTTGAATATATAATTAGGCGCGCACACGTGACAAAATTAATAATACGACAACAACTTGCATTTGACATGATATTTAGTAAATCAACCAGTGCCAGACTTGTGTTTTTTAAAATCACATTGATGACTTAACCATAGTTATATATATTCATTTGTCTCTGTGTGTGTATGTATGTGTTTCGCTTTAATTTGTAAATGTTAAATGATCTGTTTCCATAAATATTTTTTAACACTCATAGAAACTAAAAATCTCTATTTTTTAAACTTTGATTTCAATCAGATTGAAAGAGGGGTAATATACTTTTATAGGCAAAAGTACAAATTTGCCCCAAAACTATGCAAAATGATCTAACTTTTCCCCATTGAGGTCAATTGTATCCATGTCGTTACCAAATTACGTCAGATTTGTCCGTATTGCCTAACAAGCTTCTATAAATTATGAAATTGATCCGAATGGTAGTGAGAAACTAAATGGCCCAAGTTCCGTTGACGTTTTTGGGAGATATTCCCATGTAGGTTTACAAGATGAAGCATAATTTAGATGGGTCAGTTGAAAGGCTTAAAGTACAACTAGCGGTCAGGGGGAATATTCAACCAGAAGGCATAGATTACACAGAGACATTTTTTTCCTGTGGTAAAGATGATCACTATAAGATGCTTATTAGCTATTGCAGTAAAAAAAAAACTGGCATATTCATTAAATGGACGTCAATAATGCATTTCTAATTGTACTTTGCAAGAAGAGGTCTTTATGAAATTTCCAGCAGGTCTATCTTCACCTACTGTGAATCATGTCTGTTTACTAAAGAAATCACTAAATAGGTTAAAACAGGCGTCACGACAATGGTATGCCCGCCTTGCAGGTGCTTTAAGTTATAAAGGCTACTAATCATCTATAAATGATTATTATTTATTCTTTAAAAGGAGGAATAGCCTAATCTCAATTGTAGCGGTTTATGTAGACAACATACTTATTAGTGGAGATGACACAGAAGAAATTACTAGCCTTAAATCTTTCCTAAACACTGAATTCAAAGTCAAGGATTTGGGAAACTTACATTACTTTCTAGGCATGGAAATACTTGGAGAAAAATAGGGCATTATCATGTGTCAAAGGAAATTCACCTTGGATTTATTGTAGGAATTTGGTGTCTCTGATCTCTCTTGTGTTTCTTCTAAACTCAAATCCCTCAATTTACTTGTTAGCCTTTTGTGACGCCGACTGGGCTTCTTGTCCAGACAGTCGACGATCTGTAAGCGGCTTCTACATCATTCTTGGGGGATCTCCAATTTCTTGTACATCGAAGAAACATGCCTCTATTTCCTTATCATCAGCTGAAGCGGAGTATCACTCCATGCGTAGAGTTGTTACTGAGCTCCTTGGCTCACGCGTCTTCTCTCCGATATCTCTGTTTCGCCGTCTTCGCTGGTACCGGTCTTCTATGATAGAAAATAGCCATCAACATTGCTCGAAACCCCATTTTCCACGAAAGAACGAAGCATGTGGAACTCGATTACCACTTCGTTCGGCAACAGTTCCTTTCCGGGCTCATTTCCCTTTCTTATGTTCCATCTACATCTCAACTAGCCGATCTATTCACCAAATCTCTCTCAGGTCCTTCACATAGATCCGTCATTGGCAAGCCGGGGGTAATTTCTTTACCCTCCACCTTGAGGGAGGATGTTGAGAAGAAATCATTATTGGCGGCTGCTATCTCTCATGAAGAAGAAGAGGGAATGAAGGTTCTAGGTCTTTAGACAAATGAGAGTGTTTCAGATACTTCTACGTCAAAGACTTATTTGGACTCTCATTTGGTCTCTGCTTTAGACTCAACACGTGCCCTCATCTCAATGGTTGTGCAAAGGTATGATGGATTAAATAATTGTCACGACCCAATTTAGGATCGTGACCGGCGCTTAGGAGCAAGTCCCTCCAAGTAAGCCTCATCGGTATTTTACTGAAAATCGGCCAGAGTTTTCGCTGTTTTTGGACCATCCCAAACAATTTTGTCTCAAATTCAGCAACCGAACATCCTAATAGCAATTCAAATGACAATGACTTTATCAATTAACCAAAATAAGTATCTACCTTTAACAATCCACCCACTAACAACTAGAAATACCACTTTATCTCCAAATTTTTATAAGAATGAGTGTTACTCAACATAAGTCTATAATAAAAAAGACTACTCAAGACACTAAAAGAATGACCATGGAGCGACTCTAAGAGTTCATAGAAAAGACCATAACAATTGATAAAATTTCCGCCAACGCGAACAAGTGCGTGGCTCACCAAGAACTATCAGCATGTGCGCTTTAATTAACGAAATCCTCGCCCGCGTCAACTGCTCTCTCTGTAAAAAAAATTAGCGGGTAATGAGTCTCTAGCTCAGTGAGTAATAACACTTAACCACAACCATTTTTATTAAGGACAAGTCAGAAAACATGCTAGTATATTAAACAGAAATTATCATAAAAATGCCCCTTTCAGAAATAATAAACAATTTTCAGTCTCATCGTGTTTTTTTCTTGTAGTATAATACGATTGACAATTCCGTAATAAGCTCGGTAACCACTGTATAATATCAATATTCATATTTTGGGAGGTTTCAATGAACGGATCATGTAATCGGTATAACTGTGGACTTCTTCGCAAGAAGTTAAATATAACGGTAGTCCCTACTCGAGAAAAATCGGTAACTGTATGCTAGTTCTACCTTACCACTAGTGAGGGCTATAACTGTACTCTGTAATTGGTAAATACAAGGTGCACCAGGTCTAACAAACCCGTCGTTAGCTACGGGATCCTTCAAAGTCTACTCTCATTTATACTTGTCTCTGTATCCGTATATACTCATAGGAAAATATTTTAAAACAATATAGGGCATTTCGGTTCTTATCAAATCATGTAATTTCATTTCGATAACAGTAATTTCAAATAACGGTAGAACATATCTAGTGACAACAAGAATATTTAAAACAAAGGTATTCATCTCAAATAACTATTTCGGTATCATATCGAGTAAAAGACTTGTCCCAGATGCAACTCAAAATAATCGGTAACATATTCATATTAAAAATCATGTGTAAATCATGCAAGTTATGAAAACACAAATTGCGGTAAGATTACTACTCACAGTACTCATGCCGAAATACCAACTGCTTCACCTCAAGCAACTCGTACAAATTCCTCCAATCAATCTATGATTACATAATATCGATTTCATGTTAATTTCCTTATTTAGGCTAATTCATAGCTATTTTAGAATACCCCAATCCTCCGAGTTTTATACTTTATATCAATTCGTCGAA